TTCTATTAATGGAGGTCAGTCACTTTGTAACATGCCTGTGTGAGTTTATTATGAAATCTGGTGGAATAAAACTTTACAAGAATTTGTAAATGTACTTTCTTTGGATGGATGAGTTTAATTATCAGACACTTGGAAGCATCCTTGCAGGAGAAAAAATAAAAAATGACCATACAAAATATAATTTTAACATTTAATGACGTATACAAAGTGCTCAACTGATTGACTCCAGAGCTGAATTAAAATAAGAAAGAAAAAAAAAGAACATTAGAGGGAGGATGAGTCACATGGCATGCAACACATCATACCTATAGTGTTTTCTCCACAAAGTAGAGTCTGACTTTGGGTGATAACGTCATTACAGATGTGGCACAGTTTTTGCCGCCCATTTTAGCACAGTAGTCATTTCTAACACTAACTAGGTCTGTAAAGGAGGATTCTTTACTAGCACGGAGGGTCCACACTAACGGTACACCCAGACCCAGGCAGCCTGAAGCACGACAGATATATGGAACTGTATCATTGAAAATAAATAAATCAGCTCTTTTTGGTTACAAATGTATAATAAATACAAAAATATTCACCTGTTTTTTATTTAGTTTTTGGGGATTAAATGCACACTGGAACTTGACACGACACATTCCTCCATGTATGTACACTAAACAGAGTGTAGGGCAATGAAGGGATATTTGCTCTGTGGTCATTTTTTTTCTCTCCCGCCTCTTTACGATCTAAGGCTAAATGTGACAACAAAAAGCAGCCATGTTACTTAGGACGACATTTTGCAATTGTACAGACGTGATAAAAGCCAGCTGAGGATCTCTGCCTTTTTACTTTTACCTACAGCGTACTGACCATGATCCAGCATGAGTGTGGATTTCAGCACTAGCTCAGAATAGAACAGCCCAAGCTTCTGAAACTCCAGGCTCAGGTTCTTTCAGCACCAGAAACTTGGAACTGCTGTAGTATAACCGATATGTGAGCAGATTCTTGGGGATCTGGACGAGATCTGAGAGATTAGCTTCTGTAACCTTTTAAATATGGCCACATGAAGCAGCAGCCTGCTGATCTGGAGCGGGGCTGAAGGTGTCAGGCTTATCTGCGCCACCCGTTGTTGGCGCAGTCCTCTCCTCGTGGCGTCAGTGACACGGACCTGAACTCTAATCCACGTCTGGCTAATTACACAGCAGGCACCGACACCTCCTCAGAACATCTACTGCTTTGTTCCGATGCTACAGCAGACGGCTGGATACTTTTATAAGTCTGATAAAAACCCGTGATGCTGGGCGTGCACAACACTGATTGGTTAATGAGACCCACTGGACCTGTGCACCAAAGGAGGAAAAAAAAAAAGTCCGGAGAAGAAACCTCTCTTTTATAACGGCAAAACAAAGAGCAGCTCTGTATGGGAGCGTCACGCGGACACATCATCTACCCTCAGCAAAATTACACTATTAGTTAAGATTCCAGTGAGCCGGCAACAAATCAGACATTTCCGGCTGAAGGTAGCATTTAATATTTTGCGTCGTAACAGATTCAAGGTTGACCTGCCAGAGAGCAGACGTGGACACAGAACACATCACTGACCAGGGTGGAGGTCAACACATGCAAGCTGCAGCCATTCAGAACCCTTCAGTTCACACATTCCACTTTTAAATGAAAGCTGTACGACGTAAATCCAGCCACTGTAGTAATGAAGACCCTGAATGAGACGAGGGGGTACCCAAGAAAGCAGAGTCTTTGGGCCGATGTACGTTCGAACAATAAACATGTCGTTCTACACTTTGACGCAGCGCCGCGTTTCCGTCTAAAAACTGAGTCGGAGACGGGCTGCGTGACCAAATTCCTGCATCGTTAAAACTCTCCAACCGGGTAAAAGAGCTAAACGTTTCATTCTAAAACCGGCGGGCGTGCTCACGCTTCTCTTCATTAACACAGTGGCCTTTGAGCCGGGGCACTCCGACGGAGCGCCGCTTTCCTAAGAAATGGAACTGTTTGGATCACAGGTCACAGCTTTTGGGTTGAGTCCCTAACAAGCTGCTGTAATGTGGTGTTGCCTGAGGCATGACTTGCTTTACCATGCGGGTGCTTCCCTGCAGACCTCGGCTGAAGCCCGGCCGGCCGTTAGGGCTGCTGCTGCTGCTGCTGCTGCTCCTGCGCGCCGGTGGTCCTCAGCAGCCCCTCCGGGTCTGACAGGGCGCAGTAAAGCGTGTACCCCAGCTCGTCCACTTCCTGCTCAGTCAGCTCACAGAATAAATTCACTTTGGGGCTGAGGGCGCACGGCAGCCGGCCCGCCTCCAGGTGTCCCACCAGCGCTCGCAGCATCTGGAGGAAGCGGTCGGCCAGCGCCTCCTGGGCCCAGTCGCCCTCCTTCTCGCTCAGCAGCAGGATGGCGTTGGTGAGCTGGCTGGCGTTGAGCCGGTTGAGGGCGGGGTTGAGCTTGCACGCGGCCTTGGCCACTTTGAGGCACGCGCACCGGCAGCCCCCGTCCTCCTGGTCCAGCGCCCGGAGCCGCGCCGTCTCCGCCACCCGGAAGCTCTGCCGCCACAGGTTCTCGTGGCGCTCGGCGGCGAGCCGATGCGGTTTGGCGATCAGCGAAGTTCCGTCCTCCATCACGAGCAAAGGCAGGAAGTCCACGTACAGCCTGCGGTCCGTCTCGTACTGCACCTCCAGGGTCAGCGTCTCAGAGGGAACCACCGGGCGGATGATGTAATCGAGGACGCTCCCTATCGCCGGCCAGTTGATGGAGCCCGCAACCAGCTTGTCGAAGACTTCCAGGACAGATTTGGGCGACAGGTAACCGCCGACCATGCAGCGGTCCCAGTAGCTGCTGTTCCGAGGGAAATATTCCAGGTTTTCCCTGCGGACCAGCCAGAAACCCGGGACATTCATGATGGTGTCCTCCCCTGGAATGGACGACCACAGGTTCTTCTCCAAGACAAGGGGCACCATCAGCTGGGCGTGGTCAGCTGTCACCACCTGGGAGAAGAAACATTTTTAAAATAAAATTAAAAAAACAAACCGGGTCCCACTGAGACCCCAGATCCAAACAACAGCAACAGGAAAATGCGTCCAGCCACTCACCTGGAGTTCATCGTACAGACTCCCGCTGAGGTACATCTCTCTGAGCGGCATGTCGGGCAGCTTGGCGTGCAGGAACACCCGCAGCTCGGCGCAGATGTCAAGCGCCGCCCTCCTGGCCGAGGCCTGCTCCTCAGCCGGGATGTTGACGCTGTTTTGGTAGAACTCCCACAGGTGCTCCTGCAAAGACAGGCGCATCCGGGCACGCAGCAGGTCCGACTGCCTGTCGCTGCTTCCTCCCACAGCCGAGCGGCCGACAGCTCGCCGCAAACAGTCTGCAGCAGGTTAAGAAAAAAATAACTTTTCAGAGATAAATTTGAGTAGAAATTGTTCTACAACAGAGACAAACGTCCTTCTACTATTACAGCTAATGCAGAGGGTTTATTCAATTATTACACGTATCTGCAAATGAAAAACTAAACATTTTATTTCAGCTAATTGACGGCTAATCCAGTTACCAAACTACTAACAAACAGCTGGACTTTATTACTGCAGGGCAACAAGAGACTAACACCCACTGTAAAGAAAGAGCAACAATCCTCCAAGAAGGCTGTCTGTCAACATAACAAAAGAAAGACATCTGGCTCAAAGACCACAGAAGAACCTCTGCGTGATGTCAGCACAAAGGCGGCATTGCCCCCCCCCCCTTACCTGGTTCGAATGCATGCGAGGATGTGGGCAGAGACTGGAGCGACCTGCTGACTGTGGACTTCATGTCGTGGTTCAGGACCCGCGGGGACGAACCCATCCAGGCAGGCTCCTCCCAGCTTCTCTTTCCCGTCTGCTCCATCTTGGTGGGGCTGGTGGGAGCGCTTATTGCCCGGTCGTACATCTGCACAAAGAGTGTGGCGAGTGCCCTCTAAGTTACAGGATGGAAAGCTAAGCAACGGGGCCGCTTGCTCATGCTCCCTCCCGCCATTCGTTGGTTTAGTGTGGACGATAATGCGACAGAGGCGGCTCGCCACACTCACTCGTTTGACGGCTAGCGTTGCGATGCCCAGCATGGCTGCTCCTCCCACACCCAGCACCAGCTTGGCATTGGAGAGCATGAAGTCAATGGCTGTCCCAATCCCGTTGTCATCCTTTTTTCCTCTGCGATCTCCGTTGACCCCTGCCATCCTGCCACCGAAAAATAGATGAGGTCAAAGCAGTGCACAAACGTAAATCAAGAGTATCTTTTATCTGAATATCTGCTTGTGGAGCCACCTGAGAGATGCGCCTCCAGAAGACCTCTAACCCGCCTCCAGATGGCCCACGCGGGCGTCCTCCTACATAAGTCCACCCAGTCCGCTGTTTAGGAAGAACTGACCCCTCTTCAGTGCCTCCTCCTTGTCTTCGGGCACCGTCAGGGTCTGGCAGCGGCGGAATTCGCGAGCCACGGCCCGGCGGTAGTAGTTGCGGTCGGTGTACTGAAGGTGACGCCCTGCTCGGAGCAGCGCCCTGTACAGCTCCAGCACGGCACTGCGAGACCAGCTGCCCATTAGGGATCACACATGGAAGAGGGGGGCAACCCTGGTACCTGAAAAACGGTTGGTAAATGTGTTAACGTATTACTAAGACCATACAGCCTGTGGATAAATGAGGTCATTTTGCTGGACCCATGATTATTTGGAGGAGTTTAACTTTAAGAGTAAGGTCTAAGAGTTAAGTTTAAACCAGAAAGAAATCATATATTTAAAAAAACACTCTTCACTGGAATAAGATACAACTCAACAGGCTGAACAGTTAAAATACCTGCCCAGTTATGAACCGACTGTTCATGGACAGAGCTCTCCATTTCCTCTGCTTTATAAAGAAAATAAAAAAAAGGAAGTCTCGCTTAGCCTGAGATTCCAAACAAGCAGTCCCTTAAACCTTAATTCGGTATTGGCAAATGTTCAACTCCAACCTTCATGGCAAAACATGTTTATCCAGCTCGTGGAAGCAGATGCGTTATCGATCGTTAGCGACCATGCAAACGTGACCGGTTAAAGACCCTGGTTCGTCAACCCCCTAATTCCCCTTAGGGGTGTTGAGACCACATCCCCAGCCTAAGCTACAGCATTTGCATTGTGGTCGACCAACGTTCACGAGCCTGTAGAAAATGGCTGGCTTATCAGTGAGTCGCACACCTCTTTCCTAGCTTGTTAGCTCAGCATGATAACTAGCCAAGTAGCACGGCGCTGACCTTACTTTAAGACAGCCTCATGCACATGTCACATTCGTTCAAATGCACACACGACGTTACGGAAGAAATGAGGACGAAATCCCATAAGTTAAAACAACAACAAAAAAAACTTACGTTTTAAAAATGAGACAACAAACTCTTGTTTGATGGTAGGTCTCTACTCAAGCCGGGGGTCAGAGCTGACAGTGTCAACCGGAAACAAAGTGTGTCAATCACAGACTACATCCGGGTCATGCTGTTTGAACCAGTTTATTATAGACATATGTATACATCTATTTATGATGTATTCCATAGTTCCCTGGTCGTTCTGAAATGGCATAAATGAAATAAAAAAGATCCATAAATGACAAATAAATCCGTAAACAAGGTTACATAAATTAGATTTTAAAAACAGTGTAGCTCAACTTCTACATGTTCCTTATTGAGCATTATTCTTTTAAAAGACAAAATGTACTTTATTCTGTGGTAGTTTTTATTTATTTATATTCACACGTACATTTTTTAAACTCTTTGATGCAAAATGTTGTCAATTTCTGAACATATTTCGGCACATGTGTGTGTGCAAATGACTATTCTGAATCAGGCTGTGTAGGCCTATGTGACTACTTGGGACTAATTATCACACATGTACAGTGTATAACCAACTCGTTAAATAAATTACTCTATTTCCATATTCATAGTTCTCAGCTGTGGTGTGGTGGTTAGCACTGTCGCCTCCCAGCAAGAGGGTTCTGGGTTCAAATCCCGGGTGGAACCAGGGCCCTCTGGGTGGAGTTTGCATGTTCTCCCTGTGTCTGCGTAGGTTCTCTCCGGGTTCTCCGGCTTCCTCCCACAGTCCAAAAACCTGCATGTTAGGCTGATTGGAGATTGGGGGAATTGCCCTTAGGAGTGAATGTGAGTGTGAGTGGTTGTTGGTCCTTGTATGTCCTGTGTGTGGCCCTGCGATGGACTGGCGGACTGTCCAGGGTGTACCCTGCCTCTCGCCCGTTGACCACTGGGATAGGCTCCAGTTCCCCCGCGACCCCATGAGGGAGTAAGCGGTATTGATAATGGATGGATGGATGGATAGTTCTCAGCTGCCATCATTTGTAATTGATATAAAACCATTACAGTCCTCAGAAAACACCAAAATGGTCACTGCGTTGTGGCATCAAACACTTTTATTTAATCAAATCAAATGTTCAACTGTTAGTGCAGGTGATTCCAACCAGCTTTACAAGTCAGTGATGTTGTAACCAAGCCTGAAGTAACATATCCTGCTCTCATTTTGAATTCTTTTTGAGACATTATCTTGAAATGGGCATGAGAGCTTGGGGCTGGAGAACATTACATTTTTCTATTTCTGCCAGTCATTCCTTCATTTTCATATACATTCATATTCTTTGATACACGATAGTCATTTTTAAAAAATCATTTTCATTTTATTCATAAGTATTGATACATGATTTGTGAAACAATAATAACAATTGCATACATATAAAGACAATAAGGTAAAAACAAGATGCAAATAAAATAAGAAGATTGTGAAGGACCACAACACATTTACTTGCATAGCTGATTACGACATTTTGAAAAAAATCTGTTTATAATGATTTAAAATAATTATTAATTATAAATGTTTTTTTTCTATTGAACGTTTGATTGTGTCCCACATTACTACATATGATATATTTCAAGAAATTGTTTCAGCAAGAAAGAAATTTCAAAAGTCAAATTAAAATTCAAAATCAAAGAAATTCATTAATACTTCAGTTCCGCCTACATTTCCATGTATTTCTATTTTCCAATTGAATTTATGATCAAACAGACTCTTGTTGTCACTCAAATAATTTTACTTCATAAAACAGCCATAACTTTTTAATTTGCATAAACCACAAAAAGTTTCAAAAAGCAATTGTTTTCCTCCAGATGGTATTTACTGCCGCTAGATCGGCGTCAGTAAATACTATTAGCCACGTTAATCCATACCCAATTTATTTGGGGCATCACTGACAAATTTTCAAGGTGAAGATCCCTGCTGTTTACTATTCTTTGGCCTTGTCATCTAAAATATACCACATTTAATGGCCTGACAAGTGGTGGTAACATGATCAGGGCATGTACTTCATTCCTTTCATCCTAGGTATGATATGTAAATCTCTGACGTCATTGTGTTGAAGGAGCCAGCACAGATAACGCTCCGTCCCCATGCCCCACCCACTGGTGAGAAGTGGCTTTACTTGGCGCATGCTAATGTACCACTTGTAGGACTCTTCTGGTACTGCGTGGTGCCTCAGAGCCTCTTGCACCATCTCAGGGGTGGAATGACGTTCACCAAGTCCAACAGTCTCACCTAATCCTAACAGAAGGTCAGCAGCTTTGGCTTTGCTCCGCCCTGTCCCCTCCACATAGGCCTGGTAAAAGGGGACACCGAGATGGTCCATCTCAGTCAGCCAAACAGCACCACCATACTTTTCTATTAATACCCGCTCTCCTTTGCGAGTTAGCTTTCTGCCAAAATGGGGCTGGCCATTTTGTACCCACTCTAAGCAATCAGGAGAGGGCATCATGGGAATTGCCTGGTCAAGGGGAATTCTTGGAAGAGGAAGCTTGTCTTCTAGCTTATTCAGCATCTCTGTGGCATGTGTAAGGGTTCCAGCTGTGCTCAGGATTATATCTGAGTGTTTTTTCAACATGGACTTGGTGAGATGAGCCAGGTATCCCTCTGCAATGGAAATTGCATTGTCCATGTCACCCAGTAATTCACACTCCACATGGTAGAACTGGTTCAGGTGTGTTGCATCTGGATCTTCCCCTCTAAAGCTAGGAGATATGTAATAGGTCCCCTGTAGGTTGTCCTGAAAGCGAAGGAAGTATTCAAGAACAAATTGCATAGAGTCGGCTAGGTAGACATCCTGTCCTAATAGATCAACAGATACTGGCTCTGAGTCTGATCCAAGGCCCATTGGTGAAGAAATGGTGTCTGTGGTGAGAGGAGTCAGAGCGTATGAGTATTGGCAGCAACTGTGGAAATACTCCACTGTGCTGTGGAATAGAGTATTTTGGATCTGAAACAGGTTGCGATACCATTGACTCCTGATGGCAACTATGGAATGAGATTGAGGGTCCTCCCATGAATGAGGAGGCCTGCACTGGGTAATTTTTGAGTGGATGCTTTTGAGAGTTTCTGAGTCAGCAGGGGGACCATCCAGGGACGACACAAATCCAGGGTAGCTTTCAAAGTATTCTGACTGTGGCTCGACAGCTTTAGTACCATCTGGTGAGGGCAGCAGAGGGATCAGTTTGGCATGGGCGTGATCAATCTCAAATCCCTCAAAGATTACTGCAACACTTGGAGCTTTCATTCCCTCTTCCAGCAGTCTGGCAACTTTGTAAGTGGCTAGGATCAGTGCTTTGTAGTCAGATTCACCCAGCTTGAAGATGTCACTTGACAGTGGTTTGCGAGGGACTACAACAGTTATTCCAGGTCTATTTGGATAAGGTGTCAGGAAAGCAACATGCTCACTGTCTTCCCATAGTCTCCATTGTTTCTGCTCTCCACGTACAATACGACAGAACAGGTTATCATTGGAAGGGTCACCAAAATAGTCAAAACAAAAAGGTGCATTTGGTGTTGGCAGTGCATTTCTGATCTTTGCTTGAACCTGGGCAAGTGCATCATCATCCCAGCGTGGGCCACTTTTTGAAGTACAGTAGCCAGTATTGTGGCCATGAAATTCCTCCTCACTAGCAAGGTGGGGTTCCCACTTTGGCTCTAATCCATGGAGTGGTAGCAGTCTAATTTGTGCTGGTTGATCTGAGGTTGGATTGAAAACCATGGCACAGCGCTGCACTCCCAGTCGCTCACACAGTAAGTTTGACACAGCTTTAGCACCTTGCAGCATAGCAATAAAGTCAGGTACTGCCAACTGGAAGACACTACTTGCCCCACTGAGAGTTTTTCTCATCAGAATGGTTGACCCAGGGGTCCACGGGTTAGGATTCAGGTAGGCAACTAACTCATCTGTTTCCCAGATCACATTAGAGAAGCTTTTTGCTGGCCTGAGAACCTCAACTCGTGAAATACCACCAGTCATTGAGGCCACAAACATCACACCAGCATTTGTCTCAATGACTGCATCTCCTTTACTATCGACAGCAATGATTCCTGCACAGGTTCCATTTAGATCTTCAGTAATTACTTCCCTGCAGGCTTGTCTGAGGCTGTAGCCTTTGTTGTGGTATAGACTGGCTATTTTCTGTGCCACAGAGTGCCTCAGAAAAACATCTCCATCTCCAGAGCAGGTAATAGCTAAGCTGGTGTCAGCATACGTTCCAGAACCAACAACTGCTGTATCCCCAACCCGCCCTCTCAGTTTTCCAACCAACCCACCAGTTGAGGATGCAGCAGCCAATGTATTCAAATGATCCAAAGCTACTGCTCCAACTGTCTGAGGATGATTGTTTTTGGAGATTTTTTCCCCACTCATTCTTTCAATTAACTCTTTTTGGCGTAAATCAGTGTGGAAGTACTCTGGCCCAACAGGCTTCTGTTTCCCCTCCAGCTGTTGGAAAAGCTCCTCAGCTCCTTCTCCTACAATTAGGGAATGTGAACTCTTTTCCATTACACACCTGGCAGCCTTAATTGGGTTCTTTACAGTTTTCACACAGGCAACTGATCCAGACCTCTTTGCTTTGCCTTCTACAATAGTTGCTTCCATTTCATTTTTGCCTTCTTTGTTGAATACAGAACCTTTTCCTGCATTGAATAGGAAGCAGTCCTCCAAAGCTTCCACGGATCTCTGGACTGCATCCAGACTACTGCCACCTTGTTGAAGTATCTGGGATCCTAGAGTTAATGCTGTGTGAAGAGCAAACTCAATGATCTCTGTTACTTTGCTATTCAGCAACATTTCCTCCCCAGCACCACCATGAATGATCAAAATGTAGTCTGGGTTCTTGCCAGAGGTAGTATCAGCTGTGCTTTTGCTTTTGTCAGCATTTCCATCACAATGGATCTTCTGGTCTGCCTGACCCTGCTGTAATAGACAGTCCAGAGCTCCCATTTGGCTTGCAATAGCATATCTAAGAGCCAGGAGCATCACCAGCTTCAAGTTCATCCTGAAGTTCTCTTTGATTTTGTCCAGTGCCAGAGCAAAGCTGCCTTTTCCATTTAGTGTTAAGCGCACCTTGTCTTTTTTTCCAAGGTAAGTTACAGCTAGTTGGTCTTGAGCATAAACATTTCCGACTCCACACTCCACGCCTTCCATCATATCTGCACCTGTGAGGTAAACTGATGGACATCCAAAAGGGTCGAGAAACTTCTTCAGTGGATTGTCACTCGGCAAAGAGCGACGCAGGGCAGCCAGGTGGGGACCAACACCGTGGCCACTTTTGGTGTTTCGGATGAGGTTTTTGTGCTCCACAAATGCAACGTGGAACAGCTGTAGAAGGTCAGCCGTGTACTGGATTGTGCCATCCGGACAAAGACGGGAAGCCAAGAAACTCACCAACTTACGAGAATGCATAGTGACCGAGTATGTTGGATCACACCGGCCATGTTTGTAGTGCCGCATATGGGTAGGTGTGACGAGCATATGACCAGTAGCAGATTCCCCAAGAGTCTGCCTCAGGGAGAGCTGCAAAGAGAAATTGATCCAAGCATCATACAGACCTCTGTGTCCTCTGAGGGTGGAAAAGACATCAGGATAGGAAGGCATGTCAAAAGTGAGAACTGGATGGCCAGCTTTTAAGTCAGGGATCTGTTTGGGAATGCCTATTTCTTGTAAGGGGAATATCAGGGCACTTGGGCAAACAGAATTAGCATTACTTGTCGTGACAGGCTTTGTGTAATTTTGGACAAGACTTAAGTCAACAGTCTCAGATAGAAGGTACACATTCTCAGTCACAAGAGCTGCCACCATCCCATCCACAGCGCTGTGCTCGAACACCATCCCAGCCGTGCTGTCTTTGAACACCACCAGGTTCATCACCTGCAACAACAAATAGAAGTGGCAAAGACAAAAACTGTTTTTATTTATCAGTTAAAGGAAGTCATTGTGAACTTGGACTAGCACAAATCTTTAAGTTTACAGACATAGCTAAAACTCTTGTGTGATTGTACACTTTTTGCAATGAAATGTGGTTAGGGAAAAACATGGTTTTATAACAGATACTTTCACTTTTGGAAATGGTGACCCTTTTAACAAGTCCCAAAGGCAGCCCTTAGAAAGTAACTGATTTAATTTGTCATTAAAAATCTAAGGTTGGTACAACAAGGGTAATGCTTTTCACCCTGAAATAAAAGGCTGTGTTTTCCTACAATTATACAAGAGAAACATTATCACGTGAAATAAATGATAATGAGTGGGTTATTTGAATATACTGCTGGACTGAGTGCAGTTACGTGTGCAGAAAGTGTTTACCACATATCCTGTTTAATGCAGATTACAGCTGTTGCAGAATTTTTGACAAACTTTTACAAGTCAGGAACTCAGTTTGAGAAATACCTTGTCATAGTATCTGAGACATGGATTGTCTCCTCCTCCACCCAGCCTCACTGCATTCAGGACGTTGGCCAGTTCTGAAGGAGCATTGCAGTCTTCCAGACAGAGCGTGAGCACTGCACTCTCCATCAGCCCCAGTGATGTCACTGCTTCTCCGCCTTGCTGGAGAATCTCCTCCCTGATGGCTGCCCAGGCTTTGCGCTCCAGGCCAGACAGGCTGCAAATGACAGAGGGATCATTCTGTTTCCCAGCCTTGGGTTGATCCATCACCTGAGCCAGCTGGTTATAGATATCCACGAATGATCGTGCGGAAACGGGTCCACCGGTGCTAGGACGCCACAGAATGTCCACAGGGAACACTCCACCAGCACA